ATGCTTCATTCTCTATCTTCTTAACTCCTTCTGCTAAAATACATTCGCCAGCGTTACTCACTTACTAGACTTATGTAGAATCGCTGGTTGGTGATTAAATATTGGAAGACACTTAAATATCTTTTGATATATTTATTGAGAAAGCCAATATTAAAAAATTATATTATCAACACAATTCCTATAAAAAATTTTCTTTAAACTATTGCAAATAGTTCTTCTTTTAATAACCGTTTTTATACAATGAAACATTTATTTCCTTTCGATTTCATTCACAATCACCTACATTTTCTCATTCTTTCTCTCTCGATTTCCTTTTTGTCTTTCCGGTTGGTGTGGACTTTTTTGTTCTTGCCCAACGGACCCGAAATTTTGAATTGCCGTCGGCTATATCCACTATAATACGAACAACAGGTGGCGCGCGTCGATACATAAATGTATAGGTCATATAGTCGGTGTCGAATAGGCACTTGCTCTGTGCAAGTTGAGCGTTCATCAAAAACGCCACGCGATTGGTCCGTTTTGAAAAACCCCAGGCTTGCAGTTCGACGGTGGTTTTAAGTTTTAACCGACTCTTTCGAGCTGCGGGCTCACGCGAATGAAGTGTTCTTTTGATGGTGTGTTAATAATAAAATTGTAAAAATGGTGTCTGGAAAAATGGTAAAGTTAAAAAATATTTACTTTGTCCTTGAAATAAAATTGATCTATCTACTAAAATAAGCAATAATTGCATCTATAATGATTGGTTAAGGTGGTAATTGCAATTCTTAATGACCGCACGTGATTTTAAAAGGATACATTATGACATATCTAATTGATATTTGTGATCCTTTTTTAAAAATAATATTTTTACAACTACACTTTTATTTATCCTCGTAAAACTTGGTTAATCTTTTCGTACGTTTTTTTATTATTTTTCTTTGTAATAAATCGTAACCCGATAAGAACGCGGCTTTCTATGTAGAATCGATTTTCGTTGAAACCGATTTAAAAAAAAAAGATGCAATTTTAGTCATCGAGTTTTATTTAGAAGTTACACCATATAGTAACAGATGGTTATCTAATTAGTATTCATCGTTTGTTTTAACATTAAATATATTACTAGGAGTAATTTGTTTATAATCCTTTTTAAAGTTAATCCCAATGAGTCATTAATACAAAGTTATCTTTTTAAAAAAATATTTTTTAATAATAAAAATAACTTGAGATTTTCCTAATCTTTTTTGTTGAATTTGTTAAACTTGAAATGTAGGTGTTAAAGTGTTAAGTCAGCAGTTATTTAAGTGTTAAATTTTTTTAAATGTGAGAATTATTTATTTATGAATTTTGTATTCCACATTATCAACATTTGCTTAACTTCCAACGAGAAAATTCTATTAATTTGCCAACATAAAAGCATTCTTAGGTTAACGGCGATATTATAGTGGTCCTTCCACGAATTCTCAAAATTACAGAAAATTTTTTTTGTAAATTTGCTTCTTTAAATTAGATACTGCTCTGAACTGTTCTGGTTCTCATATAGCCGGTACCATGAATTAGAGATTTGTAGATTATCTCCAATCAGTTATGACGAGTTGCCCAAGATAAGAGCTAAAAATGATTTAAAAATACTATACTGTTCAGTGGGAAAAAATTGAAATTGTCAAATTATTCGAAAACTTGTATTATACCGGGAATTTCATATATCTCGCAATATATGAATGCAGCAACTATAGTTACCAAATTACTATGTACTTGGACAGTCCCACATAAAATGCAACATAGTTTAATAGTACAAGAAATGACTAGTTTTCTTGGAAAAGGTGACGTGCTTATGATAACTCTGAGTTTCCATCTTAAGAGATGCACCGCAACGGCTAAAAATTTTTTCTAGTTCTAGATCTAGTGTTAGTTCTACTTTCAGTTAACTAAACGATACTACACTCAACTAAACGATAAGATAACAATGTTCACCATTTCAAATTTTTAAACAATCATATTATTCCTTTCTATCATAATTATAACAATGGTGAAGGCGCCGGGAAAAATTTAATAAATATAAAAATTACACCTTAATTTCCATAATCTCAGTCAACTCGTAATTTATGCTGAAAGTTGTGGACTTTGTGCTCGCTGACGTGTCATACGTCAAAAAGAAAGAAAAATAATTATGGAATAAATGAATGAAAAATGTAAAAAAAACGACCTAAATAAGTTAATTCAAATAAAATCCTTTTTTTTTTCTAACATATTACTTTACATTAAATAATTAATAACTAAATAATTATAACTGTTAATAACTTTTTTTTTAATAAAAACATTGAAATAGTGTTTTTGATGGGACATGGGAATTATGAAAAGCTAGTTTTAATTATCTTTCGATCAGTAGACTGTGAGCTAATCCCAAAAGATAGAAGGGATGTAAAAATTAAAAAAAATCTCCACCTGAATAATTAATTACCCCCAGGAGGACTAATTCTATCCTTTACATATGCGTTTACGTCCTTGTCTCCCTCCCACATTTACCTACGCGTAACAATACTGCGTCAAGGAAAATGAGGAGGTCGATTTTGTTCAGAATTTACGAGAAAAANAACTAACACTAGATCTAAAACTAGAAACATTCGGGTTACTTTACTTAAGTAATATCTTATCACACTTAAGATACTTGATTATTACTTGGAGATCATCAGTTTAGAGGGGCAATAATATTCCAAGATGACTTAAAGCAAAAATTTATCCTCTTGATAGAGGAGACCTATTTATACAGGGTATATCTAAATTGATGCGAAAGATTTTAAGGGGTCATTTTTCAGCGAAAATTAAGGGGGGCCTTTCATATAACTTTTTGGTCAGAACCATTTCTCCTTCAAGTTATAGCCCTCTAAAATTAGAGGAAAAAAATTGTTTTTCTTTAATAAATTCACTATGGAGGAATCATCACTATGGAAGGATGAAATTTGGCAGATAACTATTAACAGATAACTAATAAGGTGACATTTTTTGACGATTTTTATAACCCTAATATGTTGTTACAAGTGGCTGAAAAAATCAACCCCAATAATACTTTGCCTTAGAACTTTTTAATACCTCTACATTTTTCTATTTAAAAACTTGATTTAATCTTTTATTGATTTTTATTTTTTTGATTTAACTTTTTGTCTCTTTTTCACATCTTCTCCTAAAATTGTTAGTTTGGTCACAAAGAAATAAAATAATACACAGGTTCAGGTGAATTAATTCAGAGATTGGTTATTATTAGGCAAAGAAATGAAGTTATGTCAAATTGATCTCAGCATTATTTTGTGTTTTGTGATCAAACTAACAATATGTTAGTTGTAAAATGTCAAGAGATAAGAAAGTTGCAGATTTTTACCCTTAACTTTAGAGGGCTATAACTTGGAGGAGAAGGGGTTTAACCAAAAAGTTATATGAAAGACAGACACCCCCTTAACTTTCGTTGAAAAATCACCCTTTAAAATCTTTCGCATCAATTTAGATACAGCCTGTATAGAGTTTACTCCATTCTAATATGTGGATAGAACAGCAACTGGAGTGTAAGGTGGTAAGTGTAAAAATACTTGTTATTGACCGGATGAACATGAGATTTTTATCAGCTATATATAAACGATAATTTTAGCAGAATAAAAAATAGTAATTGTAGATGCAGAGATGAAAGAGAAGTCTAGAATACGGAAATGTGTTTTGAATCTTTGGAGAAAAGGCATATTAATGGAAAGTTACCCAATTAAAATCAGAACAACCCTATATCAGAGATAACAAAGTCATAATTTTGCCAAGTGTTTAAATGTTGTGTACTTAAAACATATTGGAGGAATTATTGTTATTTGAAAGTACCAAAAGTACTAATGCAAGATTTTTATGTGCCCTTTTTTATTTAGCCGTACGTCTTTCAAGATGGTTACACCCAAATGGTTCTAGTTCTAGGTCTTGTGTTAGTTCTAGTGAAAGTGTAAAACTAGGACTAACACTAGACCAAGAACTAGAAACATTCGGGTTTAGCTGCACGTCTTTTAAAACGGTTAAACCCGTATGATTCTAGTTCTAGGTATTGTCTTAGTTCTAGTGACAGTGCTGGCGTAAAACTAGAACTAACACAAGATCTAGAATTAGAATCATTCGGGTTTAGCCGCACGTCTTTCAAGATGGCTAAACCCGAATGATTCTAGTTCTAGGTCTTGTGTTAGTTCTAGTGATAGTGCTAATGTAAAACTAGAACTAACACTAGACCGAGAACTAGAAACATTCGGATTTAGCCGCACGTCTTTCAAGACGGCTAAACCCGAATGATTCTAGTTCTAGGTCTTGTGTTAGTTCTAGTATTGCACAAGCACTATCTAGTTTTATACTAGAAGTAACACAAGACCTAGAACTAGAATCATTCGGGTTTAGCCATTCTAGTTCTAGGTCTAGTATTAGTTCTAGCATTGCACAAGCACTATCTAGTTTTACACTAGAACTAACACAAGACCTAGAATCATTCGGGTTTAGCCGTCTTGAAAGACGTGCGGCTAAATCCGAATGGTTCTAGTTTTAGGTCTTGTGTTAGTTCTAGTATTAGTTCAATAAAAATATGCAACATAGTGATATTTTATGTTAACTAGTGTTACCTACTAGCCATCTTAAGAAAGGTACGGCTAAACAGAATGTTTCTAGTTCTAGGTGTAGTGTTAGTCTATTTTTATTTGTTATTCTAGATTGTTGTATGTTTTTATTGAGCTATAACGGACTTATTGATCCTTTATATCGAGGTTTTACTGTAATTTCAAATTATATTGACATGTTGCATTTTATGTGGGACAAAGTAAGTGGGTACGCCCTAGTTTTTATGGAAATATATTTTCATATATTGCATTTTAAGTGAAATTCACAGCATATAATTAAACACACCATCCCCTGATTTATCGCAAATTCCCTTGATTTTCCTTGACAACTATACTATTCAGTGGGAAGAAAATGACTTATTAATCTTTTACATGATTTAATATATTTTTTTTTTCTAGATGAATGTTCGTGTAACCACGATGGACGCGGAACTTGAATTCGCGATCCAACATACAACGACGGGAAAACAACTGTTCGATCAAGTTGTAAAAACGATAGGGCTAAGAGAAGTCTGGTTCTTTGGGTTACAGTACACGGATTCGAAGGGCGATTTGACCTGGATCAAGCTTTACAAGAAGGTGAGAGAGATATAAATGATCCAAATTTTCATTTTCTTGTTCGTTTTTTGTTAAAAAAAAAAAAGTAAGAACCGAAACTCAATGACGCCGCCTTGGGATGACGCGAGGTCGTTCGAACAAACAATTTTACCGCAAAATAAAACCACTTACTCGCCGCCCCGCGTCATCATCGTGAGTAGAGGACGTAAAAGGTAAAACGATGAATCATAAAACAGCGAGAATGTTTTACGTCATTATAACACATTTTTCAGTTTTGAAATTTTTATCCTTCGAGTAAATTACATCAAATTATTTGCATATTTTCGTAAATTAAAGAAATTGTTTAAAATTTTTCAAAGAAAACAAGAAAATTCTTCATTTTGGAGTGTTTTTTTTTACTAAAACAATGAAATAACAAACAAATAAAACTTATCTAAGGAATGTTGGAATAAATAATATTGATGATGTAATTGTTTTATTGAAAACGACTTATCAAAATATTTAATCTAACGTATTAAATTTAATTAATTCCAATAATATTACTTCAAAATTAAAAATAGATTATTTTTTTTTAAATAAAATCCGAAAATAGAACAAAAATGTTTAATAAAAATCTTTTTTTCTCTTATCGGGGACCAAGCTCAAACAACATTATGTATTATAGCGACTTGCACGAAGCCGTTAAGATTAGATTACGGTGCGAATGTGTTTCTCTGCACAAACGGCAATTCGAAATTCAACGAACCGTTAAACGACAATAAAAGAAACGTAAACCGAACACACACACGAAAAGAAAGTCTTGGATATGTTTCAAAATCGCATAAAAATAACCCGAAACGGTGTGATAAGTAATTTGAATGTTATCTAGAAATCATTAAAATTTTTCGAAACATCTTTAGATGTTATCTAAAAACCTATTTAAACTGATATTGTCCAAAATTATTTGAATCAAATAAATATTTTAATTTTCTTTTAACACAACGTTTAGGAAGATACAGTTTTGGAAAAAGGTTTTAAACAAATCAAAAAATTAACGAAACGTTACATCAATGAAAACTACAATAGCGAAAGTGATAGTGACGATTACGACGACATGGTGAGAGGCTTTTGTAAAAAAGAAACCATCCTGTAGATTAGATAAATAATTCCGCTAGCGATCGATTAAACGTTTTAAAAAGAGGATGTAGGTTTCGCGAAAGAATTGCGGTTTCCTCCGGATTTTTTTTGTTATCATTCTCTTCATTCTAAAATTTTCTTTCTCGACCAAATCGAAATGGGACGAATTAAATTCTAATCAAAAAATACAACACACGAGCTGTTTGTAAAACGATAATTGCATGAAAACGGCGAGAGTCCAAGGTTTTTACGTTTATACCGAGTAGTTACGTGTCGTGGGGCCAATTTAAAACTGAATATCGGACTGCTTTGACAAATTTATTTCTTTTTTTAAAGAACAGGTTAATACAAATTAAATTGACTCAATATGATTCATATTTTTAAATTGAATTGAAGGAAATGATTTAGTTATCATTATTCAAGGTTGTAGCGAAGGATGTTTAAGATATAAAAAAGGAAACTTTACAGCAATTTTTACCGCAACTTTGATTGTGATGGAAAGTGTTATGACAACAGGCGAATTTACACATAACCCGCTTTTAATAAAGCATGTGTAATCGTAGTTATGTAACGTTAAATAAATATGTTAAGGTAAATAAGACGTTGGAAATGATAAAGTGCCTAAGGAAAGAACTATTAATATTCGTTGCCTGATAAGACTCTAATTAAATAAAATAGTTTGCTTTTTGAGTGTGTCACATATTTTATTAAAAACATCATTCAGATTAACTAGAATTTGTAAAGCAACGTATACGATTCGACGAATTCTGATCCTGAAGATGATTTTTATGCAATGAAACCGGTATGCTTATATAGAAGTTTTCCGACCATTTTTTTCCATCATTTTATGTTCACCACAACTTTGCAGAAGCAACATAAAGACAATTTACAAGTTTGAACATATAGTAACCGAAGAAGAAAACCGTAATAACTGAAAAACTGCTTTTGAATAACTGAGAATTATGATTTGGAATACTGAGAATACTCTCTTCTCAGTTGTAACCGTTCATACAAGTACACTGGAACACCACTCTTCAGGATCCGATAAAAAAATATATTTTCTGGACAACCATTGATGATTGAGTCGGATCCAGGACAATTTTTCACCTCTTCTGATACGATATATTAAACGGAAACAACAGCTCTGCATTTTCTGGATTTTATAACAATCACTCGCTCTTAGGAACGCGTCATAAACACATCGGCAAAATTTAGATTGCTGAGCACCAGAGACTCGCACAGCATCCTTCTGCAATCTCGATCCAGAACATGTCTGTTATGGTAGACATATCTCAAAGCATTGAACGCCTTGTTTAAGAAATTCCATGTGAAAGCCCAGATTACGCACACAAGTAACTAACTGAATCGTCGTGCTACCAATTTCAATTATTCTGATATTATTGTTTACAAACACAACACCCTGGCATTTCATCGGATTCAACTTCCAGTGTAATAGACCAGAATAGCTTTCAATACGGGAAAATACCGTATTAAATACCGAAAACATTGAAATGGATACTTTGCTTGGCGTTCTTCAAGCGGAAATTGGTAAAGGCACGAATACATCTGTAAGACGTACAACAAATATAAGTGAGGGTTCACTACAGCAGTCAAGAATAAAGTAAAAGAAAGAGATAAAGCGTACATTAGGACGAAGCGTTTACCTGGATTACCTTATTAGAAGGAATATATGGATACAAAATTTCAGAATACTGATGGACACCCGAGAAAGTAGTGGTGTATTATTAAGAATGCCCTGTCGATTGATATAGAAAATAAACGGATTTTTAAGATTGTAAGGGAGACGCAATAGATCCTAGGGAAATTTCTAATGTTATGAATGATCACTTCACCTTCAGTGTAGACAGGTTGCTTGCAGGAAAGCCGACCGCCAATGTCAGCTTGGATTATGGGATAGATTTCTCAATGTACATTAACCCTACAACTGCTGATGAAATTGAGCTTATAATAAATAATATGATAATTGATATGAGATGACGGTATAAAACCAAAAGCGGTGAAAGTACTGAAAGGAGTTTTGTCACCTATTCTATCAAGTATTATCAATAAAGAAATAAAACTTGATCAATTTCCTGATATCCTAAAGATAGGAAGAACAACCCAACCCCAGTGTATAAAAAAGGCTCAAAAACTCTGCCAGAGAACTATAGATCAATATCAATATGCAGTCTGTCTTTGGCAAAATATTTGAATCAATTTTAAAAAGTAGACTACTATCCCATTTGAATACGATTGGTTTCCAAACTTGTGAGCAGCATGGTTTTATAGGCGGTAAGAGCACACAGACTGCTATTATATCATTGTTAGAATTTGTTTATAGAAATCTCAATGAGAGCAAAATCGTTTTGGCTGTTTTCCTGGACTTGTGTAAGGCGTTTGATGTGGTTGACCATGCTATACTGCTTAGTAAGCTCGAAGCTTTGGGAGTTAAGGGACCATCACTGAGAGTTTTTAAAAATTATTTAAGAAATAGAAAGCAGTACACTGTTTACAATAATGCTACTAGCAGCAAGACACATATCAAGTATGGAGTACCCCAGGGATCTGTCCTTGGTCCTCTGCTTTTTTTAATATATATAAATGATATAACCAATTGTTGTATGCATGGTGATCTTGCCTTGTATGCGATGATGCTGTTTTGTTCTACAGAGGGTCTATGGACTCTGTCTTTTCTGATGCTCAGTGTGATCTGGACAGTGTTTGCTCTTGGGTAGATGAAAATAATATTCAATTAAACAGCGATAAATGTATGTACATATATGATCTTTAACAAAAAGGCATGAACTTATAATCTCTGGTATTAGGTTGAGAGAAGCTACAAATAGTACATATCTGGGCATTGTCTTATATAACAGATTAACATTTGAATACCATATAAAATTAACACAAAAGAAGTTAAATGGTATAAGCTATCATCTAAAACGTAATGGTCAATATTTCAGCAATTCAAACGAGATTTTCTATTTATTATGCCTATGCTCACTCTTACATAAATTATCTTTGCACCTTTTGGGGTCACGCTTGTAAAAAAGACCTTGACAAGCTACAAGTAACACAAAATAAGTTTCTAAAGATTCTCTTTTGTAAATCACATAGCACAAATACTGCATTGTATAATGAGTTAAGAGTACTTAATGTACATGAGATGATTAAGCTTGATAGTGTGAAGCTAATATATAAAATCAAAAATAATCGAGAAGAAGTGTTACAGCAGCAGTAGCGGAGTGGTTTAATGATTTACCACAACGGGTGAAGAATCAGAATGGTCTTGACTCCTTTGCGGGAGAAACAAGGACTTATTACCTTAATCTTAGGTTAAACTGATTTTGAAATGTTTTTTTTTTGTTGTATATGTATGTAACTTCTTCTTGCGTTGTTGTTATATTTTAGTGTTTATATACCTGTTATGGACTCTTATGTATTTTTGGGAATGAACGATAAATTTAAAAAAAAATATTTCCTCGACGTTCACGACGTTGGATGGATGGAAATATAAGTGATACTTGGGTGTCGTCAGCATATAGATGGTGGTAATTACATGGCATTATCACATCGGGAAGATCACGAGTATAAAGAGTAAATAGTAACGGAGATAAAATTGCTTCTTGAGAAACTCCACAGTGTATACCTTCTGCCTGGGATTGTAGACCTTCGAGCATCACACACTGGGTTCTTTCCGTAATATACGATCCTAACAGCTCAACTGCCCGGCCATCCACACCAAGAGATAATAAATTTACGATTAAAACTTCATGACATACAGTGTTAAATCCTCTACTGTAGTCTAATAAAACCAACACGGTACATTGCCATTGTTCGTCTCTTTGACGATGTCATCAAGAACAGCAGTTCGCGCAGTAGTACAACNTCCACTGGGTTCTTTCCGTAATATACGATCCTAACAGCTCAACTGCCCGGCCATCCACGCCAAGAGATAATAAATTTACGATTAAAACTTCATGACATACAGTGTTCCAATCCTCTACTGTAGTCTAATAAAACCAACACGGTACATTGCCATTGTTCGTCTCTTTGACGATGTCATCAAGAACAGCAGTTCGCGCAGTAGTACAACTGTGAAATAGTCTAAATCCCGATTGGGCGTTACTCTTCACCATAGACAGGTCATTGACAATTATCAAATCCAGTAACATTAAAGAGCTAAGCCTAATTCGGGTCATTGAAGGCTGCTTAACAATCTGATGCAAGTTCACCGTGTATAACAACTCCAAAAAGATGTCTGTTTAAAACAAGACAATTGAAATAATATTGAAATCACCCGTGCAGACAAGGTAGTCATAATCAAGGTCTATAAATTACTTTAACTGCAAATTTGACATGATGATTCTTAATATTCTTCAAATGATAAAGCCCATCAAATGGATAGAAATAGAAGACGGAATGAACAAGTATCATATGATCTTCTAAAAGGTTCTCTAAAAGGAAGTATTCTCTCAAGAGAATGAAAGATTAATAAGTATACTTAAATGACGTCATAAACGAGATATTTTTGTTATCGACATCTTATACTGATTAAATGATCGAAAAGGTGGAACATCAAGAGATGGATAAAGAACGTATTTACAAACCAAATTGAGTTAAAAAAAATTCCGTTAGAAAATATTGGCAATTGAAACACTATTTAGTGATAATATTATTCAATTTTATTAATCAAGCAATTCACACTTATCTTTTAATAGGCACTTCACCGGTTAATGGTCGTGTAACATACAAACTGTTAGAATAAACTAACATTCCGATAAACAATTTAGGTTTATCAGCAATTGAAGACTTGCCAAAGTGCGATACTCTCATCGATTAAAATCTCACCCTCTCAATTGGACTTGAATGCTACAAAGGCCGTAATTTAGGTGCTTTTAAGACTTTAATACACACATCCATTCATCTTTTTGAAAAGAGTTTATCAATATGGCAACAGTTTATCGTTGAAGGGTCATGCTTTGATTTGGGCTTCTTACCACGGACCAAGATTGCTGATGGCACAACAATCTATTTATCAAACCATCATCATATTAATCATAAGCTACAGTAGACATGGTACATAGTTTTTTGAATCGACTTGACGAGCTTGACGTGAAGCTGTTCTATCTAATCTCGTTAAAATTTATAATGAGGTTGTCTTCACTTGTCATAATTGGACCGCGTATACATCATTTGACTAAGCGACATTTTATCGTTTTTAGAGATTTTCATGCTGTCTGGTAGGTAAAGGTGTAACTTATCTTAGAAAAAAATGCAGAATACCGAAAGACCTAAAATACTATTTGTTTTAAAGGATAAATCTAAGCGCCAATTACGTTATACGATTTCAAGTCCGATTTGCATCATACGTCTAGAACCGACTTAGATACGACACTTAGATACTCCAAGAAATTCTGCAAGAGAAAAAAATAGATGAACCTACAATTTCGAGCCAGTGTCGTTTTCTAGATGTTTAATTTAAGTCTAACTAGTTTCGGCTCTTGGCCATCTCTAGAGACTCTACAAATAGATTAGCATCTCTCATTTTATTCCACTAAAACTAGAACTAACATTAGACCTAGAACTAGAATCATTCGGGTTTAGCCGTCTTGAAAGACGTGTGGCTAAACCCGAATGTTTGTAGTGTTAGTTCTAGTGGTAGTTATAGGTAGCACTAGTTAGCATAAGATATTACTGTGTTGTATATTTTTATTGAACTAAAACTAGAACGAGAACTAGAAACATTCGGGTTTAGTCGTGATAAAAACTTTCAGTTCTCAATGTCAACTTTAATTTTATTATTATATTCGCAATCTTCATAAATTAACGTTTAAAGTGAGTCCAAACTTGACGCATTTATCGCAAAAAATCAAAAAGTTCGAATTTCAACTTTTAATTTTGACATATCTGTCAACTTCATAAAAAATCCTTTAAAATGAGTCCAAACTCGACATATTTAGCTTTAATATTAATGGAAATAGAATCACTTCCGGTTTGAAACGTCAACGTCAATTTTGACATATTTATCATCTTCATTAAAAAACCTTTAAAATGAGTCCAAAGATGACGCATTTATCTCAAAAAACAAAAAAGTTAGAATAAAAAACATTAAATCCAAAGTTAGCAACAATGAAGATAGCAATTCAATTTTTAAATATTAATACCAACCTTAATTTTTAATTTTTTTTTTATTATATTTTTGTTTTTGGACTCATTTTAAAGGATTTTTCACGACGATTACAAATATGTCAAAATTGACGTTGATATTCTTAACCGGAAGTTGACCATAACTTCATTAATATTGAAGATAAATATGTCGTGTTTGTACTCATTTTAAAGGATTTTTAATGAAGATTACAAATATGTCAAAATTGAGGTTGACATTTTAAACCTGAAGTTAGTTATCATATAATAGACAAATGGAGAACTTCATGGTGTTCTTTCATGATGTATTCTTTATTAAAAAAACCTTTAAAATGAGTCCAAACAAGACGCACTTATCTCAAAAAACAAAAAAGTTAGAATAAAAAACATTAAACCCGAAGTTAGCAACAATGAAGATAGCAATTTAATTTTTAAATATTAATACCAACCTTAATTTTTGATTTTTTTTTTTATTTTTCGTTTTTGTGACAAATATTAAGACATTTTATAAAAATTAAGAATATGTCAAAATGACATTGACATTTCAAACCGGAAGTTGCTTATATCTCGAGTAATATTGGAATTAAACGTATCATGTTTGGACTCATTTTAAAGGATTTTTCACGACGATTACAAATATGTCAAAATTGACGTTGACATTCTTAACCGGAAGTTGACCATAACTTCATTAATATTGAAGATAAATATGTCGTGTTTGTACTCATTTTAAAGGATTTTTAATGAAGATTACAAATATGTCAAAATTGAGGTTGACATTTTAAACCTGAAGTTAGTTATCATATAATAGCCAAATGGACAACTTCATGGTGTTCTTTCATGATGTATTCTTTATCATAAAAAACCTTTAAAATGAGTCCAAACTAGACGCACTTATCTCAAAAACAAAAAAGTTAGAATAAAAAACTTTAAATCCAAAGTTAGCAACAATGAAGGTAGTAATTCAATTTTTAAATATTAATACCAACCTTAATTTTTTTTTATTATATTTTTGTTTTTATGACAAATTAATATTAAGGCATTTTATAAAATTAAGAATATGTCAAAATGACGTTGACATTCTTAACCGGAAGTTGACCATAACTTCATTAATATTGAAGATAAATATGTCGTGTTTGTACTCATTTTAAAGGATTTTTAATGAATATTACAAATATGTCAAAATTGAGGTTGACATTTTAAATCTGAAGTTAGTTATCATGTAATAGAAGTTTTATAACTGAAGTTAATCTAGTGTTAGTCACTTTTTCGCACATTCTTTTTATTTTTAACGTGTTTTTTGGGTCATTTCACATTTAATTTTATTTTACAACTTTTTAAACTTTAATTTTGTAAATTAGTAACTAATAATTTGATTTCGACTTTGATACGTGATCTTTTTTAACAAAACAAAAAGAAATATTAAGAAACTTGTTTGTAAAATGGATAAGATGAGAGTGTTAATCTTTTTGTCTACTGTACAAGAGTTGCAAATCAATTCTCATGGTTTAGACTCCAGATGGGTGATTTAAACTCCAACCCAAACAATGACAATTTTGGAATTTAAAAAATTAATAATATTTGTTTTGCTTTACTATAAATTGATATAAATGAATAGAAAGAATAAATTCCCTTGAATAATTGGCTTTCTTTGTGTAAATAGAAAATCGTTTTTTAGAAATTTTTGCATAGGAATGTATCCCCGATATCTCTCCGTATTGTTGAGAAATCGGGACGATACTGTCGATGAAACCGTTGCTTATTGGTATCAGTTGGATTGTAGGTTTTTCAATCGTTTTAATGAAACAGTTATGTTGTTGCATGTTGTCTGTCACCGGTCGACCTTGACATCGTTCAATACAAATTCTCGGCACCGTTCACACAGGTTCTTCTTCGTTTATTATCTTTCTTTTTTATTTCATTATCATCATTAATAGATTTCATATCGAATTAAATTATTATTAGAGCCAACAATCTCATTGTAAGAAACTTAATAGGATATTGCGTGTCCTGCTTAAATACAATTAAAACAAATTGTGTGTGTATTTACACAGTTATAAATAAAAGGAATTGGATTCTCTCTCGTCGCTTTCGTCGTCGCCTTTTTTAACGGTTACTTAAACAGTTAGTTTTTGTTTAAAACATTAGGAAGAAAGTATAAATTTGTGAATTAGATTTGTTGTATTTAGGTTTTGATACGTAGAGCTTTGTTTTTTTTTAGAGTTACGTAGCAAAAGTACAGGAAATCTCCGCTAATTCCATTGTTTACTAATTAAACCGTATATCCTTGTATTTTAATTGCAACTACTGTATGTACGTAATTTTACATTCAATTCAAACCCCAATTGTTTTTCTTACAAATCTAAATTTCCTTTTTGATTTTAATGCTTACAAAAAAATAGACTGGAGATTTGCCTTTCTCACATTGGGTAAGAAATAAACTTCAAAAATAAGAAATTTCTTTTGATTATAATTGATTTTAATTGATTAATATGTTTTTATAGGTAACTAATCAAGATGTTAAGAAGGAAAACCCACTCCAATTCAAATTCCGCGCCAAATTCTACCCCGAAGACGTAGCCGAAGAATTAATCCAAGATATAACGCTGCGATTATTCTATTTACAAGTCAAAAATGCTATTGTTGGCGATGAAATTTATTGTCCCCCGGAAACATCCGTTTTGTTAGCTTCTTACGCCGTACAAGCTCGTTATGGTGATTACGATAAAAGCGTGCACACCCCAGGTTGTTTAGAAGACGATCGATTACTCCCAAAAAGGTACTAAATTTAAAACTTTCAAATATACCTCATTAATTAATTTCCCCCCAGAGTATTAGATCAACACAAAATGTCAAAAACCGAATGGGAACAATCAATAATGACTTGGTGGTACGAACACCGCGGGATGCTTCGCGAAGACGCAATGATGGAGTATTTAAAAATCGCTCAAGATCTCGAAATGTACGGAGTAAATTACTTCGATATTCGTAATAAAAAGGGTACCGAACTGTTTCTTGGAGTTGACGCGCTCGGTTTAAACATCTACGAGAAAGAGGATCGTTTAACTCCGAAAATTGGTTTCCCTTGGTCCGAAATTCGCAACATCTCGTTCAATGAGCGCAAGTTTATTATTAAACCGATCGATAAAAAGGCGCCTGATTTTGTGTTTTTCGCGCCTCGCGTTCGCATCAATAAACGCATCTTAGCACTTTGCATGGGTAACCACGAATTGTACATGCGAAGACGCAAACCGGATACGATCGACGTGCAACAAATGAAAGCCCAAGCGCGGGATGAAAAAGTCGCGAAACAACAACAAAGGGAAAAATTACAATTAGAAATTGCGGCGAGGGAACGCGCCGAAAAGAAACAACAAGAATACGAGGATAAATTGCGTCAGATGGAGGAAGAGGTGACTAGAAGTCAACAAAGTTTACAAGAAGCTCAGGAGATGATTCGTCGTCTTGAAGAACAATTAAGACAACTGCAGGCGGCTAAAGAGGAGTTGGAGAAGAACCAACAAGAACTTCAAGACATGATGATTCGTCTTGAAGAGACCAAGAACATGGAAGCCGCGGAACGATTGAAATTGGAGGAGGAAATTAAGGCTAAACAAGAGGAGGTGATGCGCATCCAAGAAGAAGTTGAGATTAAGGATAGCGAAACGAGACGTCTTCAAGAGGAAGTCGAAAATGCTCGCCGTAAAGAGGAGGAGTTGAGACAAGAACAATTGGCTAATGCCACTAAGGGACATTTGGAGGAGAATCAACATGATGAGGACGATGAAGTCGTTAATGGAGATATTAGTAAGGACTTAATTACTGATGAGAATATTGTTGATCCTGTTGAGGATAGACGCACGTTGGCCGAAAGAAATGAAAGACTTCAAGATCAATTATTGGTAAATTTTTTAAATTATAGTAAAACCGCGATATAACGGAAGAAATGTCTGTTGAAATGCCAAAATCCGTTATATAACAAATTTTTAATTTGTGCATATAATTGGTTATTAAGTGCGTTCTTTATTAGTTAGTTCTACTTTTAGTTCAATGAAAAATCTAGCACTAAATTCCTTACTTGCCTTCCCCGCTTCCTGCCAGTTCTTTCTTTCGCCCTATTCAGTCTCTTTCATCTATTAATACCTATACAGGGTGTCCCACTAAGCGTATGGAGCGGCTGTATCTCGACAACGGTAAGGACTAGAGGTTTGGGAAAAAAATCCTTATAGGCAAAATGGGCAAGAGAAATAGCAGGAAATTATGTTGAAGTTCGTAATTCGACCGCTAGGGGGCGTAACTGCCATAGAGAAACATAAAATTCCCACTATCTCATAAAGTTAGACGATGAGCTATAACTTTGACAACATCATTTAGTAGCTTGGATAATGCCGCATCGCTTTTGTTTTGCGATATTTCTCATATCTGTCATAATAAGAGAGGGGGAGGCCAATGCGTTTTCATATGTTTACATTTTAATATCTCCTAGACCATTCAACCGATTTGAATGTTTTCGGTGTTGTTTGAAAGAGCATTTTATGCTCTTTTTAAAGATATTTTCAGTAAGACCATTTGCTTNACCTATAGTCGAGCCGTCGAATTTGTGCAGTGGTAAATCACCGTGACAGGTACTTACAAAAAAAGGGGTAGTCGGTTCCTTCGTTATGTAACCGCCTACTCCCACCAGGGTCTATAAGGCGCAGCTACACTATACGAGAATAAACCTATCTTTACAGTCAGATAAGAAGTTATGAATACCGTTCACAGTGCGTCGGCGGCTTTTATTATTTTTTTGTCTCCAGTAACGCGCTCAGTGCGCTACCCCCAGAAGGGGTGTGGTCACTTACTTTGACGAATCCGGACAGGGCGACCGACGATGTGAGAAATTTACCTACTTGTCACGGTGATTTATCACTGCACAAATTCGACGGCTCGACTATAGATATCTCCATCCATTCTCGAATTATAGAAGATGTTACAAAATCTTATATCTTAATCAGATCAAGTTTCCTTAGCAAACAAATAAGAGAGTACAAAAATGTTATTACCTTCATACTTTATTCAAGCTTAGAACTGGTTCAAAGCTACTTTTGAGGCGTGTTTAAAATCCAACAGATCAATGAAACATCATCAGTGATAATAAAACAAAATAAACCAAAACACTTAGAATTACTTAAATTTTTGGCAAAAATAGCTTTCAAATATTCGAAATGCCTTCCATAAATCTCGATGCATTTATTTAATCTAGTTTCGACGAGAAAAAACAATGTTTAAGTCTCAGCCCTGGACACATTTCTAATGGCATTTTGTGTTTTGTCATACTTTCCCTGATTATTGGTTTTTCTTGAAGAGTCAAGTAGTTTAGTCTATCCCATAGACAAAAGAGTGAAACAATGTGGGTTTTGCTGGAACCAAGAATGCATATTATGCATGTTTACACCAGCTTCAATGATAATAGTTCAGTCTGTTATCATAATCGATATCTGTTAAGGCCTGATGTCAAACAATGTGGTGGAGATACATATTATTCTCTTAAGGAATCTTGTGGACAACAAGATTTTGTTGCTAACCACAGTTGCTAAGATAGATCGCCAAAAAATGTCATTTGAAATGTCATCACTTAGTTTATTTTATTTTAACACTAATAGACAATTGCATATGGTGATTTAACAGTTAGCAACAAAAATGTTTGGAGTCAGTATAAGCTCCGCCCATCTCTGTAACGTCAAGGCTTAGGTTGTCTATTGTTTTCGGGGTTTTCAGATCGCATTGCGCACCAATTCATTTAGAAGTCTAAATGGGCTATATGTTGCCAATTTTCCGTAATCGCTAAGCCAATCTTAAAAAGACATCTAGAGAAAAATGTCTTTCTTTGTCGTAATTTAATTGCACATTTTTGCCATGCAATTGCATCATATTCGACACATTGAAAAGAAACCATCATACGCTTCTGCGTTAGTAAATGACATGTTTACAGTTACCATGGTTATGTGATTTGTTTTTGTCGATGAGGTAGCTAGATCCGATTGATGGCACTCGAGTTTTTAACATTTTCTTCTATAATTCGAGAACAGATGGCGATATCGAGATGCGGTTTTCACTAATATTTAACAAATTTTAAGGTGACTAAGGGCCTGTGCAGTAAATAGTACCGTTCCATTTAACTTTTTTTCAAAAATCACAACAATATGTAATCGCTGCAGATAACGTCCTCTAGCTTATCTATTTTAAACGAAACGGTCTAACTGAAAATATCTTTTAAAAGAGCATTAAATGCTCTTTCAAACAAGACCAAAAATATTCAAATTATTGGTCCAGGAGATATTAAAATGTAAACATTTCAAAACGCAAAGTTATAGCTCATCGACTAATTTTCATCAGTTACGCCCCCTAGCGGTCGAATTACGAACTTCAAAATTATTTCCAGCTATTTCTCTTGCCCACTTTACCTATAAGGATTTTTTTCCCAAACCTCTAGGCCTTACCATTGTCGAGATACAGCCGCTCCGTACCCTTAACGAGACTTATATTCCAATCTTATTTTTCAATCTTTTGCCCGTTTTTCTGATTCTCTATTGCTTTCTCAATCTCCTTTCTACCCACTATCTTTGTTCTCTTGTCTTTGTTCTACCCACTATCTTTGTTGTCTGCTTGCTTTTCTAATTCCTTACTTGCCTTCCCAGCTTCTTCACAGTTTCTCTCCTTTCTGTCCAATATCTTTGTTCTCTTTTCTGGCCCTATTCAGTCTCTTTCCAATCTTCTGTCCGTTTTTCTAATTCCCTATTGGTTTCTCAATCTCCGTCCAGTTTTTCTCCTTTCTATCCACAATCTTTGTCCTCTTTCCTAAGCCTATTCAATCTCAACTATAAAAATAGTCTCTTTTCAATCTTCTGCTTGCGTTTCTAATTCCTTACTTGCCTTCCCAGCTTCCTCTCAGTTTTTTTTTCTTTCTGTCCAGTATCTTTGTTCTCTTTCTTGAGCCTATTAAGTATCTTTCATCTATTAATAGTCTCTTTCCAATCTTCTGCGTGTTTTTCTAATTCCCTATTGGTTTCTCAATCTCCTTCCAGTTTTTCTCCATTCTATCCACTATCTTTGTTCTCTTTCCTGAGCCTATTCAGTCTTTTTCATCTATTAATACTCTCTTTTCAATTTTCTGCTTGCTTTTCTAATATCTTACTTGCCTTCCTAGCTTCCTCCCAGTTTCTCTCCTTTCTGTCCAGCATCTTTGTTCTCTTTCCTGGCCCTATTCAGTCTCTTCCATCTATTAATAGTCTCTTTCCAATCTTCTGTTTGTTTTTCTAATTCCCTATTGCGTTTTCAATTTCCTTCCAGATTTTCTCCGTTCTATCCACTATCTTTGTTCTCTTTCCTCAGCCTATTCAGTATCTTTCATTTATTAATTGTCTGTTTTCAATCTTCTGCTTGCTTTTCTAATTCCTTACTTGCCTTCCCAGTTTCCTCCCAGTTTCTCTCTTCTCTATCCAGTATCTTTGTTTTCCTTCCTGGCCCTATTCAATCTCTTTCATTTATTAATAGTGTCTTTCCAATCTTCTGCCTGTTTTTCTAATTCGCTATTGCTTTCTCAATCTTCTTCCAGTTTTTTTCCTTTCTATCCACTATTTTTGTTCTCTTTCTTGAGTCTATTCAGTCTCTTTCATCTATTAATAGTCTCTTCTCAATCTTCTGCTTGCTTTTCTAATTCCTTACTTGCCTTCCTAGCTTCATCCCAATTTCTCTCTTTTCTGTCCAGCATCTTTGTTTTTTTCCTGGCTCTATTCAGTCTCTTTCATTTATTAATAGTCTCTTTTCAGTCTTCTGCCTGCTCTTTTAATTCCCTTCTTACCTTCCCAACCTCGTTCCAGATACTCTCCTTTTGTACAACATCTTCACTATCTTTTTGGTGCATTAGTTCTAATTTTAGTTCAATGAAAAATATACAATAATCTAGCGCCGAGTTCCTTACTTGCCTTCCCAGGTTCCTCCCAGTTTTTCTCCTTTCTGTCCATTGTCTTTGTTGTCTTTTCTGGCCTTATTCAGTCTCTTTCATTTATTAATAGTCTCTTTTCAATCTTCTGCCTGCTCTTCCAACCTCCCTTCTTACCTTCCCAACCTCGTTCCCGATTCTCCAATTTGTCCAATATCTTTGCTCTCTTTTTGGACTCTTTCACTATCTCTTTTTAGTCATTTCTTCAATTATCGGTGTTACTCCTTTCTATATTTTTTGGAATCTATTCCAGTTTTGCTTGTTTCCCTGAGTCTCTTCACCTTCCAGTCTCTTGTCAATCTCCTTCTTCTGCTTTCAGTCTCTTTCCAGTCTTTCTTAACGCTATCCAGTCACTTTCTTGTTTTACAGCCTCACTTATTGCCTTTTCAGTCTTATTTCTCTTCTGGTCAATCTTCCTCTCTTTGTGTAGTTGCCATCTGGCCTTTTCAGTCTCCTACAAGTCTCTTTTCTTTCTGTCCCATCTCTTTGTTACATAGTAAGTTTTGATTCAATCTCTTCTGTCTTTTAAAATATACTATCTGTCAATAACAATACACAATCTAGCGCTATGTGGTGCTAATTAGCACTACTTAGCACTGTCACTAGAACTAACACTAGACCTGGAACAAGAAACATTCGGGTTTAGCCACACGTCTCTTAAGACGGCTAAACCCGAATGATTCTAGTTCTAGGTCTAGTGTTAGTTCAATAACAATACACAACCTAGCGCTATGTAGTGCTAACTAGCACTACTTAGCACTGTCACTAGAGCTAACACTAGACCTAGAGCTAGAAACGTTCGGATTTAGCTGCACGTCTTTCAAGACGGCTAAACCCGAATGATTCTAGTTCAAGGTCTTGTGTTAGTTTTAGTGATAGTGCTAGTATAAAACTAGAACTAACACTAGACCTAGAACTAGAAACGTTTGGGCTTAGCCATCTTAAGAGACATAAGGCTAAACACAAATGTTCTAGTTCTAGACGTAGTGTTACTTCTAATACTACAAATACAGAACACAACGGTCTGAATATCTCTTCGAATTTATGTGTATTAAAATTATTCCTTCAAACAATTTAAAGTGCAAATTAAAATTTTTTATATAACAGTCTTTTGGCTATAACAGACACTCCCTTCTTCGTATTAATCTGTTATGCTGGATTTAATTTGTTAAAAAATGAATAAAAAATAATTTTTTTGTAGGCTTTGAAGAAAGATTTAGCACAATCTCGTGACGAAACAAAAGAGACGGCAATGGATAAAATCCATCGGGAGAATGTTCGTCAAGGTCGCGACAAGTACAAGACTTTGCGCGAGATCCGAAAGGGTAATACGAAACGTCGCGTCGATCAATTTGAAAATATGTAAACCTCATCGCGGCCGTAAGTACTACTTTACATACCAACGCTAAAAGAGAATCGAAAAGAAAAATAATCTTTTCTTTTTTTTTTGAGAAGAGGCAGGAACTAAATAAACACTTATTATAAAAAAAACTAACTCATACATGCTCAACATCCGAAAAGTTAATTTATGTTGATTGTTATCTCTTATTATTATTTTTTTTTTTTTTCATTTTTTGCTTCATTTATAATATCTAGCTTTCTTTTTTTTGTTTGGTTAATTAAGGATAATCTTAAAGATAAAATAAACCTGCTTTTAATCATTATTAAAAAGGAAAAAGAACTTAAATGCATTCCTTTTTTTTTTCAATATTAATTTCAATTTCAGTTTTTTATTTTCATTTTTATGCTTCCTATTTTTTTTAAGGTAGCTTAGTGCCATTTTTTTTTTTGAATCAAACTTTTTTTATTCAACAATTTATTTCTTTGACGTTTATAACGAAACTTATCAAGCAGGTGCTTCCTTTTTATCGAGAAAAAATACAAAAAGAAACACATTTTCCTAAAAAAACACTTTTTAAAAACGAATTCGATTTAAGAAAAGTTGTATATAATCATTTATTATTACAGCATTTTTTTTTTTTGAAAAAAACTACTAAATGATATTGTCCGCTATATTGTTGTTTGTTGTACATAATATATAAAACTTATATATTTTAAAAGAAAAGTAATTAATATTGATCATTTTTTGAACGAATACCAACCGAATTGTTGCCTTTTCAAATTTTTGCTACGAGATTTTACAAGGTTTTTCGATAGAAAAAAATCTTTTAACACGAAACCCGTACTATTTTTAATTATTATTACCTACAACTCTACGAATTTAAGTGTTAAGAATTAATAAACACAGAAAACGGAAGAAGATAATAAAAAACTATTTTGTTACGCGCAACCTTAGCTAGGTATACACAATTTTTTCTTTCTATTCTTTTTTAATTTAGCGAAAAGTTTCGAAAGTTTAGTTTTTTTTAATAATTATTATTTCGTTTGTGGTGCAAATGGTCAAAACAAATTTTTATTACTCTACTTCTTAGTTTTTTTTTTTCTTCTCTTTTTATATAGATAGTTTTATACTTCTTACGATGAGAATTTCTTTTTTTAAAAATAACCATTTGTATATTACTATTATTTACTGGATCATTAAAAAAAAACATTATGCTTAGGAAAAACTTATTAGTATTTTTATTCGAGAATTTAGCGTTTATCAGTTTATTATTATTGTATTTAGGGATTTAATAATTAAAATTATATTATTTGGAGATTTATTGATTTTAATTCAAAATCCTTAAACATTTCCAAATATTCCAATCTTTTTAATGGTAAGTACTTCAGTACTGTGTTGTTTATGTTAGTTTTTTTTAACTATATTTGTGTAGGTAATGTGAATAGTTAAGAAGAAAGGGTAATGATTTATACAGTGAATTTCACTTAAGATGCAATGTACAAAAATATATTTCTATAGAAACCAGGGCTGAGACCTGCATGAATGGTTTTATTCGCCCGAATGAAACATTCACAAAAGAAAGAATGGTGAATCAATGTAACACACGATTCGCTCAACATGGTGTAGTGTCATATGTAACGAAAAACAGCGAATCGTCAAAAGTATTCGCGAATCATTTCAAATGATTCATTGCCTCACCTACTCAATAGTGCTTTTGTACATAATCGTTGTTATTTTACTACCGAACATAAATAAATTAATGTTATGTTGAATTTAAGACACAATTTAAATTTATGCAAAATTATCTAAATTTGGCTAAACTTATACAAAATTGTCTAAAATATTCAAAACGTATTTAAAATTATCAACATTTCACAAAGTAGTTCAAAATGTTACTGAAATTATGTAAGCTTGTACAAAATTAATTAAAAGCGTAAAATTGTCTTAAATTGTTTAAACTTGTTCAAAACCATCTGTTTTAGACGATCAAAATGTGGCTAATATTATCAAAACTTGGCCAAAATTGTCTAAATTATTTATATCCAAAATTATCAAAATTTTATAAAATACCAGTGAAAAATAATCAAAATATTACTGAAATTATGTATACTTGTTCAAAATTATTTAAAAGCGCAAAATTTATCTAAAATTGATTAAACTTGTTCATAAAAAATTTTATGAAATAGCCTAATATGATTAAATTGTATCTAAATTTGGCTAAACATGCACAAAAATGTCTGAAATTGTTGTGTCTAAAATTATCTAAATTCGGAAAACTTTACAAAATTGTCTACAATTATCTAAACTTGCCTAAAATTTAAAAGCGCAAAACATCTATAGTTATTTAAACTTGTCTAAGCACGTGCAATATTATCCGAAATTGTTTAAAATTATTCAAAGTTAACCAAAAAAAGTGTTAAAAAATCGTTTTTAAGAAATCAGAACTTAAAAGAAATGTATATCTAATTGATGACACTATTAGAAGGCTATGATATTAACAAATCTAGTTACTTTTGTTACAAATTTGTGTGGTTTATTTTATTTATTTAAATCAAAGAGTATCAATCAGTACGCTGTGAAATGTCAGTTGGTAGTGACTTTATCTAAGTTCCTTAAATTCTCTTCGAGAAATTGTTATTAACGAAGTTTTTTTCAAGAAACGAGTGTGTTGTGAATCAATGTTGAAATAATTACAAAAATTAATACTGGTGATTATCATATAATAGCAAAACCAAATAGTGTGAGTAAAATTTGGAATTTATTTGGCCTTCTTAAAAAACAAGATGACAGTATAACGATGGAATTATTTATTGCCGAAAGTGCAACAAAATTTTAAAATATAATAGCAAGCAAACCTCAAACCTCGTTCGTCATAGATGTTATATTGAAAGCAATAGTATTGGCGAACGAGAAATAAGACATGTAAATAGTGAAGACACAGAGAGTGTACTGCATGTCTGTTCTCAATGGGTGATTGAAGATTATCGGCGTTTTTCATCGGTAAATAGAAAGGGCTTCAAAAAAATGGTTCAAAAATTGATCGATATTGCGGCAAAGTATGGAAGTAATATTAACATTGACGAGCTGATTTCGAATTCAACAACACGTAACGTAACATCACGTTATGTAAACGACATGGCAACGGAAAGAAAACAACAAATAACTCGTGATTTGCGCCCTATTATTGTCGAAGGAGTATCAATAACTTGTGACCTATGGACCGACAATTTTATTAAAAGAAACTTTTTATGCGCCACTTTACATTTTCACGAAAATAGCCACCTCATAGAATTACTTCTAGGAACCAAAACAATGGATATGGACAGATGTACCGCGGAAAATATTTCTAAAAAATCAATTTACTTTTATCGGATTTTGAAATTAAAGATATGAGGAATGTGATATTTGTAAGTGATCGGGGTTTTAACATTATAAAAGCGTTAAAGGACCACGAACGCATAAACTGTGCTAATCGTTTGTTTAACAATGTATTGGAAGCTGCATTCTAAAATACAGAAGAGCTACATCCAATATTTGAGGCCTGTAAAAAATTGGTTAAATATTTGAAAAAATCAAAGTTGCAGCATTTGTTAAACACATCATTAAAGAACTATTGCACTACACGTTGGAATTCTTACTACAATTTATTCAAGTCTCAAGTCAATTTTAAAAAATTGGTTCAAAATAAATTAAATACTTGGTGGTAACAATGAAATGTATAGCTTAACAGATATACATTTCCCAATGTTAAACATTTTGGTTGAACTTTTTGATAAATTTCACATAATTAATAGGAAACTGCAACAAGTAAAGTATGTAACCTTTAATTATGTATACCTTCCAATGAATAGTTAAAGACAAACATGTACACAAGTAAATGAAGACACCCTACCTATACGAAAACTAAAACAAAATATTTTGAACCAGATTGAAAGTAAGTGGCTTCCAAATTTAAGCATCTACCACAACGCAGCTTGTTTCCTGTCTTGCTTTCTTAGAACCAAATATAATTAACAGTGTGAAAGATTTCTGCATTGACACAATTTTATGTTACAATATTATACATACAAACTCTTTAAGAGAAGTAATAGAGGACGAAGTACAACGTTATAGTACATCAAAAGTTAGTGTAGATGTAAATTTTGATGTACTGAAATGGTGGAATAACCATGCAACGGAATATCCCAATTTATTTAGAATTGCAATTAAAATTTTATCTATTCCTGCGAGCAGTGCTGCTTCTGAACGAGTATTTTCTATGGCGGGACATTTAATTACCATGAAAAGAATTTAGAGATAATCCCTGTTTTCCAATGTGATGGTGTATCGAAAATGACTACTAATTTTATCTCGAAAAAACCGTTAACAATTTTTGAATTAAAACATAAAAATCTTAAAATGTAAAAGATTATGAAAGACACATGTGTTTACGTAGTTAATACAAATTTTTGCGATTTTAAATGATTGGTTTAGTTTACATTACATAGTCAACATTAAATGATTTTGGACAAATTTTGTGATTTTAAATAATTTTACTCATTTTGAATATTTTTGATAATTTTTAAACAGTTTTTTACCACTTTTGCACTTTTTCAGCAAAATTTTAAATTTCAATACATTATACGGAACTTTTCAAATATCTCATTCGCGAATGGTTCTAATGGCACTACATGATTCACACTTCTGTTGACGAATGAATAAACCATAGCAACAGCGAATTGATTAATATGATTCGACATAAGAGCCGTTCGGTACAGGTCTCGGAGTCGACACTACAGTAACTTAAGAAAGAATACCACACAACATGATTCATAGTAACTATTGACGAATGAAGGCAACACTCAAGCAACGAATCAGTAAATATGATTCACTATGTGAGCCACTCGCTGCAGGTCTCTGGTACCTACTTATTTTGTGCCACATAAAATGCAACATGACAATATAATTTGATGGCATATCGTCAAAAAGCTTGTGTAGCTATTATTTTAGGTTTAACAACAAAACGCCGGAAGAAAAAGAGAATATGAGCTAGGGAATGGCTTCTAAAGAGAGACACGTTTTCTCAAATGAATTTGTTGAATGAGGTTTGCTTAGTAAGAAAACCACGTAACTCCGTTTCGGAAAATTTTACAGGAGACAGAAAAAACTGGATTTTTTTTAATTTGACAGTCGTGTTAAGTGCTTTTCGTTTTAAGATTTGGGCGGAAACTTGTATTTCAATATACGCGCAGTTTTCGGAATTGGTAGATTTTATAATTTGTTGCATAATTACATCAAAATCTTATTTTTGGTAAAAATTGGAGTTACGTGGTTTTCTTACTAAGCCAACGATATGTTGTATTAAAGAGGTCAACTACTTACTAAATCAGTTTTTGACACTTAGGAAATTGTTTAAAATAATTGATTACCATAGTTACTCATGGCTACTGCTATTTTTATCATGTCAACAAATGTGAAGTACTTAAACTGTAAAGTAATTTTTCTCGAAAATTTTCTTATGTAACCAATATTAATATTGACTGTACTAGATTCAGAAAAAAATCCTCTTTCATATTCCGTAATAAAAATGGGGGATAGCTGTTTGAAAAAATATCGATGACGTCATAACTCGCTTGAAAATGGCGGAAGAAATTTAAAACCTACACCAAACAATCGCAAAAAAATTAAATCTTTAGACCCGTTTCAGGGATTATTCCATAAAGCGTTTATAATGATTTTATCGCCTATATCCGTTACTTTACGGACACGCTGTATATTAATCGTGTGAAGGGCGCTTAAAACCTCGATATAACGGATCAATACAGAGAACGCAGTGTCCGTTATAGCTCAATAAAAATATACAAGACTAACACTAGCACTAAGACGACTGGTAGGTGGTAAGTAGCGCAAGTTAGCATAACATGTCACTATGTTGCATATTTTTATTGAACTAAAACTAGACCAAGAACTAGAATCATTTGGGTCATTCTAGGTATAGTGCTAGTTCTACATAGTGAGAGTGCTACTGTAAAACTAGAACTAACACTTGATCTAGAACTAGAAACATTCGGATTTAGCCGCAAGTCTCTCAAGACGGCTAAACGCGAATGATTCTAGATCTAGGTCTTGTGTTAGTTCTAGTGACAGCGCTAGTGTAAAACTAGAGCTAACACTAGACGCATTTAGCCGTGCGGACGGCTAAATCTCTGAGGACGCACGGCTAAACCCGATATTTTCTAGTTCTAGGTCTAGTGTTAGTTCTAGTTTTATTTGCTATTAAGCGCTAAATTATTGTCTATTTTTACTGAAATAATAGTAGAACTAACACTAGACCTAGAACTAGTAACATTAGGATTTTGCTTCGCGTCTCTCAAGACGGCTAAACCCGAAACTTTCTAGTTCTAGATGTAGTGTTAGTTCTAGTTTTAATTCTTATGCAGCGATAGACCAAGAACTAGAATCATTCTGGTTTAGCCGTCTTAAGAGACGTACGGCTAAATCCGAATGTTTCTAGTTCTAGGTCTAATGTTAGTTGTAGTGACAGTGCAAGTATAAAACTAGAACTAACACTATACCTAGAACTAGAATCATTTGGGTTTAGCCGTCTTTAGCGACGTGCGGCTAAACCCAAATGATTCTAGTTCTAGGTATAGTGTTAGTTCTACAAAGTAACAGTGCTAGTGTAAAACTAGAACTAATACCATACCTAGAACTAGAATCATTTGGATTTAACCCTCATTAGCAACGTGCGTCTAAACCCAAATGGTTCTTGTTCTAGGTATACTGTTAGTTCTACATAGTAACAGTGCTGGTGTAAAACTAGAACTAACACTTGATCTAGAACTAGAATCATTTGGGTTTAGCCATATTGAGATACATCTAGTGTTAGTACTAGTTTTAATTATTTTCAGCGTTAGATTGTGGTATATTTTTATTGAACGAAGAGTAGAACTAAAACAGGACGTCACCTTTTCCTTCGCAAATCTACCCAATGCCTGTATAGTGTGTGCCAAATTGGACACTTTTAAAGGGAAACTCCTCTTTCTATAAGAGATAGAGGAAAAATTATATCAGTGTGTGAGGCTCGATTTTTATAAGAAAGTTAATGGCGAAAACCGCATATCGATATCTCTTACGGTTACAGAGATACAGGGTGTTTATCAAAAAGGTGCATTTTCGAAAAGTCGTCATAACTTTTTTCTTATTGATAAAATGCCACTTGGATCATTCCATCGTAGAAGCTACGGACAAATTCAATATCAAACTTTTTTGCTCCCAAGCAACACAACCGATGAGTTACAGCACAATGAAGAAGTATTAAAATACTGAACGCAGTATCAAGATAGAAGAATCACCAAACAGAGATTCGGAACATTTTTCTCAAAAGTGTGGGACCAAAGCCCTCACTCAATATTAAAGCGGGATTTGAATCTACTAGAATATATCCGTTTGATCCCGCAAAAATTCCCGAAGAAGCTTTTGCATCGGCCTTCTCTTGCTGTGTCTGATGAACACACTGAAGAGAATTTATTGACTGCACCAAGCAATCCAACACATTGAAGCATTCCTGAAGCGGATTTCTATAGCAGTGAAGATGATATTCCCTTTTTCAGATCTGCTCAATGAATCAAGCCCGTTAAAATCAATTACTGATATTCATGACATCCTGTCAACTCCAGAGAAGGATTTCAAGTTCAGCAACTGCTTCGAGAAGAGAGCAGAAATGCTACTCATACTGAATGTTGGTATTGTTTTGTTTGTGATGAAGACAAAGTCGCCGATATGAGGCTTTGCACCTTCGTGGGCATATTCAACTACACTATGGGAAATGTTGCCACTTTCCCACTGAAAAAAATAAAAAGTATAAGTACAGTTCTACTTGCACGTCGTTTTCTTTGTGCCTACATTATGTTACCTATTAGATAAATAGGCGATGAAATAAAAAGAAACTTTACCTCATGTATTATACAAGACAAAAAAATTTATGTCAAAAAGCCTTATGGTGGCCATATTCGACCCAGGTACCTTATGTGATGTTTTCAACTTGTCCTAAATACTTAGCAATACCGATAATTCCAGTTTGCGCTTCTACCAATATAATTTTCTTAGAAATGGCAATGTTAACATTTTAGGTTTGATTTTGAACTGTTTCTTATCCTTGATTAACTTGCACCATATCCTTGCTAATTTCCTGAAGACAACATTTCCTTAAAAATAAATTCCTTCGTTCTATCACAAATACAATGAAGCTACTTTGGTAATGTTAGGGATTATTTTAGTAACATAATTTGGAAAATTCGGTTGGTGTTCATAACCTTATGACATCAAAGATCCTTTATGCCCATTTATTTTTGGTATGGAAGCATTAGTTCCACAACTAATAGAAAGGTGAAACGTTATATGTAATTATTTAGGTTGATTTCTCATTAAGTATTCATTATTTACCACTTATTTTAGGACGGTCTTCACAACCTCAATTGCTGCCCGGGTAGACGTGGAGGAATGAACAAGCCATGCTCATTATGTGTAGCTGTTAGGATCTTATTGCCGCGAAAACGATGAGAGGATGAAGTGATTGAGGACGCACAGCCATTCATGAGCATCAGAACCTGCAAGAGAGTAGTTCTCGATCGGCAGTGTTGGAGGCAATAGATATCATCACCAGATACTGCGTTATTCAGCATTAGCAAATGAGCTAAAATCAGCTTAGATATCAAAAACGTTAGTATGGAATAGAAAGATAAGCTTTTTATGTTCAATATTATTTAGGATATCTAGGGACGTGAGATATAGGGTTGCTATTAGCTATGCAAATATACAGCCTTGGATGCGTTATTTATCGTTGGACACTAGCTATGTAAATACTGAAAACTTTACGACTTAGATAAAACTTTGCCCATATCTAAAAATTCAAGAAAACTTTTATTATTCATTTTTTAAAGTCTTTTCTATCGTTAATGTCTTGCTACAAAAACCTGAAACACCTTGTATTTGTCGTTGTAATATCACAATCTGTTTTTTTTTTTAGTTTTTTTGCAAAATGAAATGAACTCATAAATTTATGATTCAAAAAAGGATTAAATACATTATTATATTTACTTTTTGTATCACAATTATACCTATATTTTTATTATAATAATATTAAGCCAAATGTAAACACTCCTAAACGATTGCATGTGGCGCCATCCCGGATCGAAGCGGTCGTTTCACGAACCGACAGCATCCGAAAACCTGTTAACCAGGAAAGTTCAGTAGTAAAGACCGGACTTTCGCGGAAAACGTATCGTCCCTACCGATAAAAAGACAAAACCCCACCGAAATTCACGCAACCCACCAAAATCTTCAGGCAAACTTATATAAATATTATTTTTTTAATCCCAACAAATTTTAATTTAATTCAACTTAAACATTTTTACTAATTTCGCATTTTTAGTATTTTTTCCAATAATTTAGAGGTTAGGAAAATGTATTTAAACATTGGAATCGTGGTGGGTTAACCGCCGGTGACGTCAAGTTTCCGATCGCAGGTGTCATGGAAACGAACTCCAAAGAAGAGGAGAGGGTAAGTTACTCTATGGAAATGATTTATTTGTTTTCTTTTTTATATGTTTTTTATGAGAACCTTTTTCCCTTACTTTTTTTGTACCGTCCGGTTTTTAATTAAGTTTTTAAGACTCCTTTTTTGTCCTAAATTTTTTATGGATCGTTTAGACGTTAATATCTCAGTTTTAATAGACCATCCCTATTACCATATCAATTATTTAAAAGAATAAGGTCTCCATTTAGCGGCGGCATCGATTTCACATGCATCATTTAAGCGGTAATTGTCAGGAAATTATTAGTTTTTGATGTGATTGATGGTGTGAATACTAACTATGTAGAAGTATTTAACTATGTAATAATTATTTCTGTTTCATATCCTTATTTCCATAAATTAAGCAAATCCTTAGTGCTTCACTCCGAAAATATGTGTGTAGATGATATACATTTTAACGACAAAGAGAATATGTTATGCCCGTTTTATGACAAAGAAGCGAATATGTAAATGGCGTGTACTTTACCTAAAAGGATTAACACGGTCGCAGTATACGGAATACATTAATGTTTTTGAAGTTGCTATAAAATAAAATTAAGCGTCAGAGATTTTAGTATAAAAATATATAATATAGAGTATATTAACTTACCTCAATTAGAGTCCTAACATTGTTTTAGTATTACGCTTTAGCTTTGAATGCAGTTACATCGTATGAATAGAGCGCAACAAGTTATGTTAGGTATGGTGATTTGCTTAGATAGCTTTGTTCTTCCTTTATGCATCCCACAATTTAAATTATCAATTTTGCCTTTGTTGCCAAAAGAACGAATTTCAAAGTGCCGGGTTTTATTCTGCCATCTTAAAAAGACATCAACATTTCCATAAAATATCTGCGTTTTCTACTTTTTTGCTTTGTTGAATTTCAAAGTGCAGGATGATTCTGTTCTACCATTGTCACCAATGCAACTTCATCAGCATAGAACATTGGCAATATTAAAAATAATTCTGCATTGCTAACACTATCTAGATGCCAGCATTTCCACTTAGTATTACATTGTGCTCCACTACAAAAGCGATGTTTCTTAATGTATGAGTTGGTACATTTTTTTTAGTCATTTACAAACATTGTCAATCACCATGGCAAGTTGTACGATTGAGAAGCACAGATGTTACATAGAGAGATGATTTATGAAGTCTCATTTTCAACATATTGAAATTGTCAGAACTAAAAACATTAAATGACACAATCGCAATTTTGATGCAGCACTTGACTAAGCGAAAAATGAACAATGTTGAGAAAAACGAGATTTTCGTTTTCATCTCTCTAAAAATATAAGTCTTCTCAGAATAGACAGGCTCAAACTATTGAAAATTGTATGGTGCCTGTCTATTTGATGACAGCTATTACAAGCACAGAAGCCGCTTGGTCAGTCGTTACGTTTTACGATTATAGAGGATGGTTCTGTATGTCGTGGCACAAGTTTAACCACAAATACTAGAGTCAAAATAATGATTCGTGTAAACATTTTTGAAGAAAATAATCTAGAGTTTGATTTTTATTTTATATAAAATTTAAGTCTAACTAATTTTCATTAAAAATCCTTTAAAATGAGTACAAACACGACATATTTATCTTCAATATTAATAAAGTTATGGTCAACTTNGTTACATAGAGAGATGATTTATGAAGTCTCATTTTCAACATATTGAAATTGTCAGAACTAAAAACATTAAATGACACAATCGCAATTTTGATGCAGCACTTGACTAAGCGAAAAATGAACAATGTTGAGAAAAACGAGATTTTCGTTTTCATCTCTCTAAAACATAAGTCTTCTCAGAATAGACAGGCTCAAACTATTGAAAATTGTATGGTGCCTGTCTATTTGATGACAGCTATTACAAGCACAGAAGCCGCTTGGTCAGTCGTTACGTTTTACGATTATACAGGATGGTTCTGTAAGTCGTGGCACAAGTTTAACCACAAATACTAGAGTCAAAATGATGATTCGTGTAAACATTTTTGATGAAAATAATCTAGAGTTTGATTTTTATTTTATATAGAATTTAAGTCTAACTAATTTTCATTAAAAATTCTTTAAAATAAGCCCAAACATGATACGTTTAATTCCAATATTACTCCAGATATAAGCAACTTCCGGTTTGAAATGTCAACGTCATTTTGACATATTCTTAATTTTTATAAAATGTCTTAATATTTGTTACAAAAACAAAAATATAATAAAAAAAAAGATAAAAAATTAAGGTTGGTATTAATAATTAAAAATTAAATTGTTTAGACTCATTTTAAAGGTATTTTTAATAAAGAATACATCATGAAAGAACACCATGAAGTTGTCCATTTGTCTATTATATGATAACTAACTTCAGGTTTAAAATGTCAACCTCAATTTTGACATATTTTTAATCTTCATTAAAAATCCTTTAAAATGAGTACAAACACGACATATTTATCTTAAATATTAATGAAGTTATCCAAACATGATACGTTTCCTTTCAATATTACTCGAGATATAAGCAATTTCCGGTTTGAAATGTCAATGTCATTTTGACGTATTTTTAATTTTTATAAAATGTCTTATTATTTTTCACAAAAAAAAATAATAAAAAAAAATAAAAAATTAAGGTTGGTTGGGTTGGTTAAAATTAATATTTAAAAATTACATTGCTATCTTCATTGTTGCTAACTTCGGGTTTAATGCTTTTTATTCAAACTTTTTCGTTTTTTGAGATAAGTGCGTCATGTTTGGACTCATTTTAAAGATTTTTTAATGAAGATGATAAATATGTCAAAATTGACGTTGACGTTTCAAACCGGAAGTGATTGTGTTTCCATTAATATTAAAGTTAAATATGTCGAATTTGGACTCATTTTAAAGGATTTTTTATGAAGTTGATAAATATGTCAAAATTAAAAGTTGAAAGTTCGAAGTTTTTAGTTTTTTGAGATAAATGCGTCATGTTTGGACTCACTTTAAAGGTTATTTTATCAAGATTACGAATATAATAATAAAATTGTTGTTAAAGTTGACATTGACAACTGAAAGTTTTTTCACGACTAAACCCGAATGTTTCTAGTTCCCGTTGTAGTTTTAGTTCAATAAAAATATACAACATAATTATATCTTATGCTAACTAGCGCTACCTACCACTGCCACTAGAACTAACACTAGACCGAGAACTAGAAACATTCATTTTTTCAGTTCCATGTCTCTCAAGATGACTAAACCCGAATGATTCTAGTTTTAGGTCTTGTGTTAGTTCTAGTGATAGTGCTAGTGTAAAACTAGAACTAACACTAGACCTAGAACTAGAATCATTCGGATTTAGCCGCACGTCTCTCAAGACGTCTAAACCCGAATATTTCTAGTTCTAGGTCTAGTGTTAGTTCTAGTGATAGTGCTAGTGTAAAACTAGAATTCACACTAGACCTAGAACTAGAAAATATCTTTTTTTTTATTTCTAATTCTAGGTCTATTGTTAGTTCTAGTTTTAGTGCAATAAAAATATGCAACATAGTGATATCTTATGCTAACTAGCGCTGTCGTTTGTAAAATAGATAAGATGAGAGATGTTAATCTATTTGTAGAGTCTCTCAAGATGGCCAAGGGCCGAAACTAGTTAGACTTAAATTCTATATAAAATAAAAGACAAACTTTTAATTTTATACTAACATCTAGAAAGCGACACTGACCCGAAATTGTAGGTACATCTATTTTTTTTCTTTTGTAGAATTTCTTGGTGTATCTAAGTGTAGTATCTAAGTTGGTTCTTAGACGTATGCTGCAAATCAGACTTGAAATCGTATAACGTGATTGTCGCATAGCTTTATACTTTAAAACAAATGGTATTTTAGGTCTTTCGGTATTCTACATTTTTTTCTAAGATAAGTTACACCTTTACCTACGAGACAACATGAAATCTCTAAAAACGATCAAATGTCGCGTAGTCAAGTGATGTATAACGCGCTACAATTGTTGTTACAAGTTCTCTAGATGAATGAAAAACATGAAAACATCTTCATCATGTTTGTCAGAACTCTGTTAATAGTTTTGCATAAATTATATCGTAAGAAATGAATACAGTAACAAGATTTGAGTGGTAAAATTGTTTAATTTGACTTTGTTTTCCTCCTCCTATTGTATGCGGGTACTGAAACTCCTAATAGCCTCTCTGGCAACTTCTTCGTCAAAGGAATGGTGTCAATGGTCTTCATCTCCCACAATCCATTCAAGAATTTCAGATTTTTTAGATTGATGATTCCATGCTACCGATTTCAACAATTTCTTGTCGAACTTCATTTGATAGCAATCTCTCTTTGAGAATCGACAATGGAACGTCGTCATTTGAATCCCATTCAGTTTCTGAATTTGTGGCGACTCTAACAGAATCACTATTATCAACTGAATAGCAAAATATATTTTTGCTATTGGATCAGGCAAGAGCTTGTCCCAGGCATTGGCAAGGAAAAACACGGTGTCCCTCAATGTGATGTTCTTAAGAGCCCGAGAAATGTCATTTTCCCCCATACCTACTACATGGATCAAAAGGCTCTTTAGATAATACAGTTTAGTTAATCGTATCACATTTTGGTCTATGGGTTAAATAAGTGAGGTAAAATTGGGTGGCAAAAAGATGGTTATTATTTGACCATAGTCGTTTCTCGACTAATTAAATGGCTTTTCCATTAAGATTAATGTCCGCTTGAAATTTCCGAGTCACTTGTACAACAAATGACTCGTGGAACCATTTTACAATTATGGTAGAAGTCATCCAGGCGTTTTTTGTTACTTAGTATTCAACTGGAAGTCTATCGCAATTAAAAGCTCAAGGATTTGTTGCTTTTCCAATTACATACCATCATTTTAGTTTGTGTGTGCTATTGCCGTTTGCACAGGCAAGAAAAGTTACTCTCTTTTTCGAAGGTTTTCGCCCTGAGGCTGTTGTTTTTTTGGCATGCACCAATGTCCTATCAGGTAGTAATTTCCACAATAATGCAGATTCAT